CTGTTTTCCCGGGTGGCGCCAGGCAGCTGCAGGCCCAGAAGCGTGAGGTGGAGGGCCGTGAGTTCAGGGAGCTGCTTGAGGCGGGGCTCAACCCCTACGCGGTGTACAGGAGGCGCGATGCAGAGGTGATCTTGTGCGTGCGTGTTTGTGTGTGTGTGTGTGCGCGTGCATGTGGGGGAGGGGGGGGCGGCCGTGGGCTGCGGGCACAGGGCTGTGAGCAAAAGATGGAGGGCCAGGGTTTGTTTACAGGTGTTTGTGGTGTGGCCGTTGCCGTTGCGATCAAGGCATAACTGCGGTCGCCACAAAAGGTGCTGATAACGTAATCAGCAGTCAACGATTGGAGGTGCGACTACTGAGCGCTTGCCTGCACCATGGTGCATGCGCATGAGCGCAGGCCGCAGAGCGCAAGGCCGCGGCGGAGCTTACAGCGGGGCAGGATGCGCGGCGTGCCAAGCTCGCGGCGGCTCTAGAGGAGGAGGAGCGGCTGCACCAGCGCAGTAAGAAGCGCCAGGTACGCAGTGGGTCCGGTAGGGGTGGTGTGGGTGCAGGCGGGAGGAGGTGCAATGTCAGCAATGCCGGCAGGAAGTCGTCCGGGGCAGCCCTGCTTGTGTTGAGGGACTGTGATTTGATCAAATGCGCCATGCCAGCATTAAAAGATCAGTGCTAGATTGTCTCGTTTCAAAGGGATGAGCACAACGCATGCACTTGCACATGAATGCACACCCACATGCATACCGTATGCACACACACGCACACACACAAACTCAGGCACGCAAAAACACGTATGCGCGACCCGTGCCGCGTGCAGGAGCGTGACCGCCTGGTGGAGGAGGCCTACCAGCGCAAGATGGGCACCGCGGCGCAGCTGGCCCGCACGGACGCCTACATGCGGCGCCACACCCTCAGCCACCAGGCCCTGGTTGACCCCACAAGCAGGTCGGGGCGGCACGCGAATGGAAGTCATTTCCCTGCAAGCCTGCGAGCCCAACCGCTGGTCTGGTCGGGGGAGGGAGGCCAAGCAGCAGCTGCGCCCCCTGGTCTGACGACATCCTCACCATCCACTGGCCCCAGTCGCCTGCACCATAATCCCCGCCCACCCCACCTCCCATGCCACCCCAACCGGCCCCGCCGCCCTGTCCTGCCCGGCAGGTGCCCCCAGTACCCGAGCCAGGTGGTGAGGGTGGTGCCCAACAGCTTCGGCCTGGGGGGAGCAGATCCGGCCGTCATCAGCATGGTGCGGATGGGCTGCGGGGAGGAGGGGCAAGACCCGGTTTAAGGCACAGACCTTGGGTGGAAGCCGAAGGCGGGAACCGTTACATTGGGGGAGGTTTGAGCCTGCAACCTGGCAGGCCGTCCGCACCTGTGCAAGCAGGCCACATCCGGCATCAACCCTCTTGTCAGCCCAGCAAAAGCGGTGGTGCCATTATGCTGCAACCCCTCGCGCCAGGTGGCCGATCGTCTGGGCAGTGCGGGCGCCGTGGACCTGTCATCCACGCCGCTGCTGCCCTCCAGGCACCGCGCCGCCGCCACGGGCGCCCAGTCAGCGGCCCAAGCTGAGGCGGCCAGGGCTTCAGCGCGCGCGGCGGCCGGCAGCGGCAGCGACGGCGACGCGTCGCCCCGGGGCGACGACGGGGGTCCCGCCGGGATCGGGGAGGGGTCGCCAGCCAGTGGGGACGACGCGGGCGATGGCGACGGCGACGGCAGCCGTGGGCGCGGCTCTTGGAAGGCGTTGAGCATGCGCAAGCCCAGCAGGTTTGAGGAGGAGCGTCTGGCGGCGTCGAAAGCGCGGCACACGGAGCGCGTCAAGCGGGATCGGCCGCAACAGCCGGCGGCAGGGGCGGGGCCCGGATCCGCCTCGGCGGCCGCGCCACACAGCGGTGCGTCGCCGTCGCCTGCGCCTGTGCCTGGCGGGGTGTCTTTCGTGGCGTCGCCCCCCGAGGTTGTGTTTGAGGACGCAGTGGCGGGCAGGACGCGGCGCGCTGAGGTGGCGCTGGTCAATGCGGGGCCGGTCAAGGGCGCCATCCGGCTGCTGGACGTGCCAGGGGAGGTGGGCAGAGAGGGGTGGCAGCGAGCCGCACAAAGCAAATCCTCAATGCGGTGCCCACCTGCGGTCCTGGGCTCCCCATCCCACGCATTCCCGGAACAAAGGGCCCTGGAGTCTTGGGCGTGAGCGAGCACCGTCCCCCAGGCCACCCCTTGGCCCCCGCTTGCATGCTCACCTGCCCCCTGAATGGCTCCAGAAGCCGGCGACGGCAGGACCAGGTGTAAGCATCTGTATCTTGGTCCTTCCTCCCTTGCCCACGCACCCATCCCCGCAACGTCCCCCCAACCCGCACACAGGTGGCTGACACCCTGGAGGCCACCCTGCCACCCCCGGGCGCCCTGGCCCCAGGGTCAGGCTGCACCCTGACCCTAGAAATAACGCCAAAGGTTCGCAGGGGGGATGTAGGGGAGAGAAGGATGGGCGGCGTGGTGCAGGCCGACACAGGCAACCCTTGGATGAGCAGTTTGCCGCAGCAGTGCCAACAAATTTCGAATCTCAAGGCCGCATCCTTCCTTGATTCCCTTGACGCCTTGGTACCATTATTGTCAACAGCCAGATTACGCCTGCACATACACTGATTTCAATGTGGCAAAGTCGTCACGCTGCGCTGCTCCTGACCGCCTTGCCCCCGGCACTGCGCCGTTGCGTTACGTCCTGTGACGTGTGCAGGTGGAGGCTGACGTCACCGCCACCCTGCAGCTGCTGACCCCCACCGGCCGCCTGCTGCTGCCTGTTCGCCTCCTCGCGCGCCGCGCGCTGCCGACGCTCAGCCCTGATGGCGTGGTGGAGGTTGGTGTGCGGGGCGGCGGCGTGATGGTGGCGGCGCGGGCGGAGCGGACCATCACCATCAGTAATGCGGGCGCCTTGGACGTGACCTACGACATAAAGGTGGGCGGCCGCGGCGCTGATGGTGTGCAGCGCAACGTTTTGGCTGATCGCCCCTGCTGCCAGCGCAATGTCAGGGTGTTTTGAGCAGTATGTATGGCCACGTGACACACTGTACACGGCTTGTACGCGCGACGGCATGTCGACCCTGGCCAGACAGATATGATCATCTCAGCTGTGTGTCTGTGGGTGAAGAGTCAGGGAGAGTGGCAAGCACAGCGACTGCATCACCGACCCCCCGCCCCAACAACACTCGCAGGTGGACGGGCCCCTTGGGGAGGCCGGGGTGGTGTCTGAGGGCAGTGACGACAAGGCCACAGGCGCACGAACAGGCACCACGTCCGCAGGCGGTCAGGCGGGCAGCGACACCGCGGCGTTGGCGCGCGCGCCGCCCAGTGTCAGCGTGGCGGGCTTCACGCTGCGGGGCACGCGGGGCGTGGTGCCGGGCTATGGGCAGGTGGCGTTCCAGGTGCAGTTCGCGCCGCGAGTGCCAGGTGCGGCTGGCCGGCCGCTTGAACCGGCTGCTGGGGATTGACGGGGCCAAGGGGGATGTCAACTCAGCACCCCAGCATCAAAGGATGCCACCCCCCGGGCTGTCTGCGTGGTGCGCGGCGTCGGTTGAGTCGAGGCGTGCATGCGTGCTGTGATGCCGTCCCAACGACCCCCTGCCGCACCCGCCTGCCGCGATCCCGCACCCCAGGCCCCGTGGAGGTGCCGCTGTCGGTGCGCTTCGCCGCGCCCGCAAACCGCGCTCTCGCGGTCCCCGCGGCGCGGCTGGTGCTGGCGGGTGTGGGGCGGGAGCTGCCGGTGTCTACGGAGCATGACGTCATTGACTTCAAGTGAGCGGGCGGGTCAGAGCAGCCGGCAATGCGGGAGCCACCACGGGGTGGCTCGGCGCAGGGGTTGTCATTCGGAATGACAAGCTGTGTCTTTGCGAAACTCGCATGACTGGCGGTACAGTGTGCGCTTTCAGCAGGAGCGTGACGACTGGGCGGTGCAACCTAGCGTCTTGCCCAGTACGACCCGCGCGCGCATGCAATCCGCCCGCCTCTGGGGAGCAGGTGCGTGACCCCTGGTCGGCGGTACGCCGCAGCCCTGGTCCTGCGCAATGCGGGCGCCACCGCCATGAAGGCCCAGGTGAGGGCCCCGGCCCCGCCGCAGCAGCCATAATGTGGGCGGGCGGGCGCACCCTGGCTCCACGGCTGGCGGCGAATATGCAACGTCGTCGTCTGTCTGCCGCGCGCGTGCTCACGGCTTGCCACCTCCACCTCCCGACCTGGCCCTGGTACCATCCCCCACCACATCGATCACTGCATGTTCGCGCTCGCCGCCCCGTTGGCGACGCCCCAGACCCACCTCCAACCAGACCCACTGCACCACACGCTCTCCGCACCCACATACCGCAC